TATTGATATCATCGCTGGATATCGATAGGTTCACATCCAATTGCATCCAGCGATGCATTGATATACTTGGCGAAGCACGTCTTCAACAAGGGCGTGTCTTGTGTTCTTACTGCAGCCCTCTGAGTACCTGCGTGTTATCGCCACGTCTGTCTTCGAGATCTGCATGTTTTCAAGCTCTCGCCATTGTTGCATGCGTGGGTGTGCTTCTCGTCAACACTCGTGCTGTGCTTGTCTCTGTGACGCATAATTGTACCACCGCTTCGCACGCTTTTTTCGACCCTCGCCCAATTCGCGGCCCGGGGTGCCCACGCAGTGGGTGCCCCTTACTCGGAATTCGCGGATTCGCGGACAGGGTTTGAAGGGTCGATGGAGAGGACATGTGTGTGGATCGGATCGCTCCATCGACGTTTCGGCCATCCATCCACATGTATCAGCCGTCACATGCACCGCACGTCATCAAAACACCGATGGCAAACATGAACATGTCCAATGTCCACCCACCAGCACACACAGAAAAACGTCCACACATGTTTGGCTGGTTCATCTGTTGCCCATGCCCAGCCCCCGGCCATCATACTCCTGCTCATCCTCATCAGCCGATGCCGACCGACGCCGCCTTCGCGGCTGCGACTCCTGCTGCTGCTGCTGCTGCTGCTCCCCTTCACCGCCCTGCACACACATCAACTGTGAAGGTGGGTGTGGGTGGCTGGAGGCATGAGCGTACCTGCTGGTTGGTGGTGTGTGGCTGTGGTGTTCTGGGAGGCGTTCTGTAGGGGTAAGGCGCTGTGGTGTTGGCCTGGGTGTGCGTGTGTGTGTGGGCATCCGCCGGCTGCCGCTGGGACGACCATCCACCTACGGAAATACATGACACACACAGACACACGCAGAGAGAGAGAGACGCGAGATTGGCCTCATGCGTGTGTGTGTGTGTGTGTTTGTACGTTGTATGTTTGCGAAGCGTTCCTTGAGCTGGTCGGCCCCTGTCCCCCGGGCAGTCTCGACGAACTGCCGCACCTCGGCCTGGCAGCCATACATCCCTGTCAGCTGACCACCTGTGGACACACAGACAGAGACATAGCAAGGAGGGGCACGGAAATCCATGTGTGTGTGTATGTGTGTGTGTGAGAGAGAGGGGGGGGGGTACTTAGTTCCTCGTCCATCCATTCGGTCACCATCTGCACACACAGGTGGGCGGTGCCTTCCATCCTCTCTCTCTCCCTCTCTCTCTCTCTCTGTGTGTGTGTGTGTGTCTGTGTGTGCAGCACCGAGATCATGACGTTTCTGATGTGGTCGCTGATCTTTGCTGCGCGGGGGACCTCTGCCGCCGGCAGCGCCCTCGTCTCTGTGAGCTTGTTGACGATGGCCTCATAGGTCTCCGACAGCCGCTCACACACCTCCCTGCACACACACACACGCACACACATTCACCCACACATTCGAATATACAGACTCATGGAGGTGCAGACTCACCTGTAGAGTGCCCACACGTGAGGCCACGGGAGCCTCTCCGTCTCCCGCAGCACCCCGCAGCACACCCACAGACAACGACCCCAATACGGCCCCTTCACACAAACACACACACAAGGGTGTTCTCGTCTTTGAGGGTGTGTGTGGTTGCCGAGCGTGTAGACAGACAGACAGACCGTGGTGCGTTCGAGGGCCCGTCTGCCCTCGCCCCATTTGAGCCAGAGGACGTTGGCCAGCTCCATGATCAGCACGAAGGACGACGGCAGCGGGGAGAGGGAATACGCTGACAAAGAGAGAGGCGTCACATGCAAGAGGGTGTTTGCGTGGCCGGCGCTGGGCGAGGGTGTCTACGTGAGATGGTGCGGTATGAGACGATGAAGTGCTCGAAGCGACGCGGGAGGTCCACAGGAACTGCAACCGCAGACACATGCTCAAATCCATCCATCCATCCACTTGTCCATCCAGCCATGTCGTGCGCACCGGGCTGTGCCTGCTGCTGCTGGTGGCGGTCGATCGGCACCCCCGCTGACGCACTGCACACCCAAAGACACATAGATACACAACCATTGCAGTGCAATCCCATACCCACCAGCTCACACACTTACGTACCCGTCAGTGCGGTAGAAGTGCTTCGGACGCACAAACCCTGGGTCACTCTGCACAAACAAACCCACCACACACACATCCTCGCAGAGAGAGAGAGAAAGAGGGAGGGAGAGAGATGTGCGTCGATTCGCTGACTGACCTGAGCGAAGAACGGCATCAGGGTGTCGTGCGGCCAGGGTGCGAAGAGGTGCCGCGTGGCGCGGGGCGTGAAGCACACAGACAGGAAGAGATTCTCGTACTCCAGCAATGCGTCCGCCTGCACTCACGCCACAGTGTGTGTTGGTGTGTTTGTGGGAGAGGGGAAGATGCGCTTGGCTTACAGGTGGGCTGCCTGCGTGGATGCGGTCAAGCAGCAGCAGCTGTAGGTGTGGCAGGCCCACTCTCCTGGCGTCCTGCATGAGCCGGTCCACGTCTCTGACGCTCTGCAGCGATGCTCGCATGGCGTCGATCTCGTCCTTCACAGACGCGTATCTAGCCCAACCAACACACACACATCCATCCATCCATCCATGTGTGTGAGTGTGGTGTGTTGTGGTGTGTGTGTCTACGCCGGCTGTGTCGCTAGGCGCTTTGAGATCAGCTCCAGCTCGTTGACAAAGGGCTCCTGCATCCATCCATCCATCCATCCGAGAGAGAGGGGTCCATGTGTGTGTGTGGTGTGTGTGTGTGTGTGCCTGTAGGTGCATGATGGTGTCGATGGCCCGCTCAGCGTACACGGCCATCTCTTGCAGACCACTCACACCCGTATGCTGAACAGACAATCCGCCAACAACGCTCTCTCTCTCTCTCTCTGTGTGTGTGTGTGTGTGTGTCTGTGTGTGCCTGCGTGTACCTGCCGCAGGATGCCCATCATCGGGGTTTCACGAAGGCCGGCCTGAGTGGTCCTCTCGAGGGCTGCCTGGAGGCGCTTCAAGCACTGCAGAATGGCAGGCACCCGAACACATTGACGTGTTTGTTCAGATGGGCGCGAGAGTGTGAGGTTACCTCTTTACGGTCAGCGAGAGAGGCGTTCTGGGGAGGCAGCTGTTGTGTGAGATGCAGGTACAGCGCGCAAACCTAAACAATCACATGGACACACACACAGGGAGAGAGAGGGAGAGAGGGACGCCCGTCGTCTCCCTCTCTCGTGAGTGGATCGGATCTTCCATGTGCTCAGTCACCTCTGCCCATCTCTGCGTGCGCTTCAGCAGCTCTGCCAGGACCTCTCCGCACTTGAGCGCCTCCTTGGCGGTCCTCTGTCCGCCCGACATCATCATGGCCCACTCCAGCAGCCTGTGCTCAACCAGGGCCACAGACACCTGAAACTGCTGCTGCACACCTGCACACGAGAGAGCATCCACACAGCCATCCATCCATCCACAGACACACACAGGCATCCGCCGACTGACCGCCGAGTGTCGCGAGGATCGTCTGTGAGTCGTATGTGCCCAGCAGCTTGTCAATCGAGGCCGTTTTGAGCCGCTCGTGGGCACCCACCAGTATGGCTGACAGCACAGCGGGCTCCTGTGGACACACACACACACAAAGACGCACACACACACGGATGGATGGATGGATGTGTGTGGGCGTGTGGTTGCCTGCAATCGGTCGGCGATTGTGAGGATGAAGATGTCGCACACGCTGTCGGGAGAGAGGCCGGTGTGTGCGAGGGTCGGCAGGCCGCTGTCAATCTGCACACACACAGGTACACACACACGTGTGTTGACCTGTGCCGCTGTGTGGGGGTGAGTGTGTGGGCACCCACCTTGTCGTTGGCGATCTGCACGCACTTGGCCCAGTTGTTGGAGTGCATGTACGTCCGCAGAGACAGGCGCAGCGCACTCTCAGCCTCCCTGCCGCCACCCACACACACACAGCTGTGTCCTCTCCGTGTGTGTGTGTCTGTGTGTGTGTGTGTGTGTGTCGGGGGTACCTGCCGTCGGTCTGTCGTGAGTTGAGCAGGTTGGTGAACCGCTCCAATGCCTCCTGGGACACATCTGTGTGTGTCATCGCACCCTGTACACATGCACAGCATCTGTGTGTCAGAGATCTCCCTCCCCCTCCCCCTCTCCCTCTGTGAGTGTGTGTGCGTGTCTGGATGTTTGCCTGTGTGGTGGTAGCGAGGGATCTGCTGAGAGCGAGGTACACGATGGACAAATTGCGGCCAAACAGATCGGGGCAGTACTGGTTGAGTCGTGAGCACAGCTGCACCACTCGGTTGCCGTCGTCCCCAGGATGCTGCTGCTGCTGTTGCTGCCGCCGGCCGCCGACGGGCGCGCCTTTCAGCCAACTCAGCAGCTCCTCATTGCCAATCCCGGCCTGCAAATGCATCACACACTCTCTCTCCCTCTCTGTGTCCGCCATGGATGGACGGATGGACGGATTGTGTGTACCGCTTGGAGCACGACAGCGTCGCACATGCGCATTGGGAGAGTGATGAAGTCCTCAGTGGACGCCACACGGTCGATTGGGGCATTCATCAAGACGTCCAAGTAGGGCGCAATACGCCTGCAGTGCATGGCTCTCTCTCTCTCTCTCTCTCTGTGTGTGTCTGTGTGTGGGGGAGAGGGGACCTACCTGCTGGCCCACACGCTGCTGTTGTCGTGGTGCTCTCTGGCGATGGCCTCCATCACTCCGACTGTCTGCTTCATCATGTCTGCGCAGGCAGGAACACACCCAAACCCACACCCACACCCACACGTGCAGATGAGATGGGATGTGTGTGTCCATGTGTGTTGGTACCAAGGAAGGCCACCACGCAGTCGAGCCGCAGTTTGTCGAAATACACCAGCCGTTGCTGTGCCAGTGCCACACACACAGAGGGAGGCGTGTGTGCGTCCATGCAGCTGTGTGTGTGGAGAGGCAGACGCACTTACTTACCAGCCCTTGCTGCGGCCCGGTGTATTCCATATTCTCTCTGTCGCCCCTCCCTGCTGCAGGGACGCCCTCGCGCACGTAGGACAACACAGCTGCATAGCATTGCAGACACACACACACACACAGGTGTGGGGCTGTGGTTGTGTGTGTGTGGGGGTGTGTGTGTGTGGGTACATGATAGGCTTGTGAGCAGGGAGGACAGCATGGCGCCTGGGGGGGCCAGCCGCACCTGATAAGAGAGAGAGGGAGAGAGAGCTGTGTTTGGATGCCATGTCTGCTCTGCGCATCACTTCACTCACGCCGTCGTAGCCAAAGCAGAAGACGCAGATGGGCGTGTCCAGCAGAGGATACAGCACCTGCGAGCACAAGGCAGACAGACAGACAGACACAGACACATGTGTGTGTGTGGGTGGGTGGGTGGGTGTGTGTCCACCAGATCCACATATATCACATGAGGGTGCGTACGTGTGCCAGCCACATCACGAGCCCCTTGAACCACTTGGCGGGGGGGCGGGGGGCGTTCCTACACACACACAGACCGGTGTCATCTGCTGTCTGTCTGTCTGTCTGTCTGTCTGAGCGTGTCGATCCATCCATGCGCACATGAGTTCTGTGATTGACGCGCCTGCCTCCTCTTCGCGCGTGTAGGCGATCTCGGTGTCGTCAATGTGGAAACGGGGCCTGCACTCACACACACACACGTATGCATGAGTCAGTGCATCAGTGCATCAGTCAGTCCACACACAGAGAGGGAGAAAGAGATGCACACCCACCTGAATGGGCGCCCTGGCGACCCTCCTAATCGGGACCTCCCTCCCTGACACACACACACACACACGTACGTGTGTCTATGTCTGTGTGAGCGTGTGTGCGTACGCCGGTGCTGGTGGATCGGTCGGGCAGCCCAATGGTGTGGGAGAGGTACGTGCAGCACATCTCTGCATTCCGTGGGTTGGGGTCGCCGGCCAGCAGCGAGGGCAGGTACGTCAGCGTCACCACCTGGTACACACCACAATGGATGGGTTGAGGACGCATTGCAATCATTGTCTTGTGTGGTGTGGTGTGGTGTGGATTTGTGTCTGCGCACCTGCACACTCTTCTCTGTCAGCAGCACCAAGGTCCGCGCGCTGCGCCAAAGGGGCGTCTGCCCTGAAGCCTCCACCCCCCACACACACGGAGAGAGATGGATGGATGGATGGATCTGTGCTCGTGACTAAGTAACCTTCCATCGGCCCGTCGAGCACCACCACGCCATTGCCGCCGCCGCCCCTCTGTCCACTGTGTCCGCAGTAGAAGGAGCGCTCCTCGGCGAGTGCGATGGCGGGCGACGGGAGCGACTGAACCGACACGTACTCAGCCAGGGGGGACAGCTCTGCATTACACACACGACGGGCGCACAGATGCACATCTGTGCAGGTGAGTCGACTGGGGGGTGGTCCGGACCTCCCGAGGGCAGTCCGGCTCTTGCGCGGATTTCGACGGTGCCCATGCCGACTCTGACACACACACACACACAGATTGGTTGTGTTGTTGACACACAGACGTGTGCTTGCCTGCCCATCTGGCTGTCGTCACTCGTAACGATCTGCACGCCGTTTGCGTACATCGACAGAGATTGGGGGCCGGCTGATGCACAACCACACCCACACCCACACCCGCACACACACCCACCTTCAACGTCAGTCAATGTGTGTGCACGGCACTACACAAGCTCACCTGAGCTCACCTGTGTAAGCCGTGCCGAGGACGTTCTGAGCAAACATGGCCGTGGGAGAGGGGACGTACGGCGACGCGCGACGTGTGGGGGGCGTGCTCGTGCCTTCACACACAGACATACACACGTGTGCACACTTCTCTCTCTCTCTGTGTGTGTGTGTGTGTGATGCAGCCGTACCGGCAAGCCAGAATGACGAGTGCATGCCTGTTGTCGTGCGGTAGGTCGACTGCCGGGAGTTCCATGAGGGATGCGGCGCTGTCAGTCAGTCAGGAACACACACACACACACACACCAGAGAGAGAGAGAGAGAGAGAGGGGAGGGGGGGAGGGGGGGATGTGCTGCTTGTGCACCGTGTGCAGAAATACAGACAGGCAGACGTACAGGTGCGTATGAGGTCCTGTGGGCTGTCAGCTGTGGTGTTGACGAAGTGGTAGCGCACCCCGTCGGCAGCCAACACCACACAGTGCACCTGGGAGTCCACCGATATGCCTGATGACGACACACAAGACACACACAGATACACACAGATACACACGTGTGTGTGTGTGTGTGTGTTGGTCGGTGCCTATGTGGCGTTGACGCACAAACACGCATTATGACGCACATGGGAAGATCTGCATGATGTCCTTGGAGCGGCGCGGCTGCCCGGGGTACGCTCGATCCAACCTGTGTGACCACACACAGACAGACAGACAGACATGTGTGTGCCAACGCGTGTGTGTGTGTGTGTTTGTGTGTGTGTTTGTTTGCAAGTTCCCTCCCGCCCTCCCTCCCTCACTCGTCCATCAGATGGCTGAAGTTGACTTCGCCCAGGTGCTTGAGGCCGTCTGCCTGCACACACGTGAATATGCGTGTGATGCACTCATCCGTCCATCGATCCATCTGTGTGTGAGTTGACTTGAGGACCTGGCAGCAGGTGACGGCCTGTCCCTCGGCCACCCAGATTCCCCGCCGCTGCTGACAAGCCGACGAGAGGGGGTCGCTCGACTGACCGAACGGTAGACGGCTGCACACACACACACACACACACAGAGAGAGAGAGAGAGGGGGAGTGTGTGCTCATCCAGACGCACACACACGCATACCAGATGGACTTGCGTCGCTTGGCAGGTCTGCTGCCCCCTGTGACTGCGCCTGCCTGGCCGGCAAACCCAGTGGCGCTGTCGCCGGGCATCATCATCGAAGTGTCATAATCCTCATCGGTGAAGGACGGAGCCGGCACTGCACACACAGAACGAACACGGATATGTGTGATGTCTGGTGGGAGGGGAGGGGGAGGGGAGGGGGAAAGTACCGTTGGCCTCGTCAGGTCTGGCGAAGGCGTTGCGTGGGCGGCTGGACAGGAAGGGCTGACCTGCAGCCACCAATGCAGCGCAGCGGTGGGCGTCCATCCATCCACCATGGCGAACACATGTGCGCGCACCGGTCATTCGCCATTGTCGCGACTCGAGTATCTCGTAGATGCGGATGGTGGAGCTGCGTGGACGGACACACACCGACACACACATGGATGAGTGGATCAGTGTGTGTGCGCCTCTCTCTCTCTCTCTCTGTGTGTGTGTGTGTGTGTGCGTGTGTGAGTGTGTGTGTGTGTGAGAGTGTGTGTGTGTGTGTGTGCTACCTGGTGTCAAGGGTGAAGAGATATTTGCTGGCGCAGCACTGACACGCACACATGGCAAACACAACACAACACGTGTGTGCTGATACACACGTAGGTGTAGGTGTGTGGGTACATCCATGTCGTGTGCGGCATACTTTGAGCTGTTTGATCCGCTGCTGTCGCCGAAATGACGGCAACAAATCCCACACCCCTGCACCAGCACTCACCGTCAGTGCGCGCGCGTGTGTGTGTGTGTGTGTGTACCCTTTGTACGCTGAATCAGCCGCACTCTTGGGCAGTTCCTACACACCATACACACACACACGTTGGAGTGTCTCTGCCCGCGTCTGTGTGTGGCAGACAAGTACCAGGTCCGCTCCTTCTGGTACGCGAGCTCGAGAATCTCCGAATCTGCACTTGTGCACACAGAGATGGAGGGATGGATGGACATGGCCGCTCATACGAACGCACCTCCGCGTGTCATGAAGACGTGCCCATCGTCCGTCACAGCCATCACGTCAATCACACCTGAAGACACACACGCTCACACACGCTCGCACACTCACATACATGACGGCAGACAGAGATGCCCACTCACCGTCACTCCTCACGCGGTAAACGCCTTCAACCAAGTCGGTCTCGGCAATGACGTACCTGCAGCGCCTCACACACACACACACACATATAGGCACGTGTCGGCTCCGACATCCGTCGTGCACACGACTGCGGTGCGTACGGGTGTGTGTCTGATCTGTCGAAGGAGTGCGGCGAGACGGGCGACAGGGGCGATGTGGCCGCTGCTGTGACACAGACACAGACACACGCACGAACACAATGAAACACACCATCTCACACATGCGCCATTGTGTGACATACCTTGCTGCTGCGGGCTGGCCAGCCGCGACACACCCGAATACCCTTGACGGGCACTGCACCAAAAACATGTCTGTCTCCAGGTGTCGATGAGCCCGTGTGTGTGTGTGTGGACCTCCTGGCGCCCCTGAACACAGTGCTGAGTCCGCCAACTCCCCCGCTGCTGTCACCGTCGGCCATGGTGGTCGATTGGGTGCGGAGAGACCGGTCCGACACGGGCAGCACACACAACCCTGAACACATGGATGGCGTTAGTGAGATGTGTGTGAATGCGCGCGTGTCTGGTGCGGTGTGGTGAGCGCGCCTCTCATCTCGACGTGGTCTTCGGTGGCCACCACAACCACACACGACACCTGCACACACACACGGGCACGGCCCATATATGACCCAGACGAGCGAGTCAAATGTTTTGACCGATCGCGCACCTTTGAGTCGAACACCTCTGGTCGTGGGATGAGCAGCTCCACGGCAGTCAGTGGCTGGACACCATCAACACACACAACGACACATGGGTGGGTGTGAATCGATGTGCTTTGTCCATGTGCTTTGTCCACCTCGTAGAAGTCCATTCGTATGGGCTTGGCGTCCGCACAACGATAGTTCCTGCACACACACAGACACCGATAGACATGTGTGTGTGTGCATGCGATATATGCGATGCGCACCAGATGAAGAGCACATTGTCGACGGCCACCCACAGGTGGTGAAGGAACGGAAAGAAACCTGATTGGATTGGTCCACACACAAACACTTGCAAACATGCTCTGCGCCCATGCACATGACGTGCCTGCAAATGCCCTCTGCTGTGCCCTCTGGGTCGCCTCGGTGATGACAGCCGGCAGCATACTCTGCAGCGGCAAACTGCACACACGTACACACACATACCGACAGACACAGACAGATGTGTACGTCTGTGTGTGTGTGTCTGAGTGCTGACTCCATTCGTATGGCCCTGTTGTCCCATTCGAGCAGCGGCACGTCGCACGGGAAGGTGAACTGGGCGGGCGAGAAGGAATTCGCCTCCGACATCACAATCTGCACACACACACACACACACCAAAGCAAATGCATGCACCAAAGCAATGCATCTCCCTTCTCCTGACATGAGTGATGCACACGCACACACACGCATTGTGACGCATCCGACCTTCCGGCCCTCCTCCGCCAGCTTGATCTTCTGCGTCAGCGGGTCCATTGTGTGACTGTCACAGTGGGTCTCACGACCAAGGCAGATGGACAGATCTGTGCTCAGATCACTTGAGCAATGCGTTCACTCCTCACTTGAGGCTCTGCACCGGACGCGACCGTCTTTGCTCAGCTCGCACTTGCGAGCTTGGCAAGAAGTGAGCCCATGGCTTGCGTCATCATCTCTGCCGTAAGTCGGGAGTCCTCTTTCCATACCTCTTCCAACACATTCCTCATAGGTGAGGAACCACGTCCATGAACGAGTGCTGCATCAGTGCCGGTATACGGGCCCTTGGCACCTTCTCTACGCTGACTGTCTGTCCGGCTCGGACCCACACACATGGGAGGTGAGTCAGCATTGCAACACAGCACAGCACAGCACGATTCGACACAGAGCCCCCACGCGCCGTTCCTGTGCTCATCCAGGACTGGTATCTCGCGTTCGGGCCTATGTTGCCCAGCAAGAGGAAGATGCCGCCACTCGAGAGCTCGCCAAGGGCCTCAGGAATGGCACACTGACTCTGGAGAGGGCCACACAGTTGCTGGAAGCAAGAGCCGACGCCAAGTTCATCATGACTGACTGGGATGGGTACCGCTACAGCCTCATCCAGCTAGCGATCGAGCGTCACAAGACGGCTGACAGTCTGGACATCATCCGGCTGCTCATCGACAGAGGAGCTGATATCAACCATCGCAGCAGCTCCCCGTATCGCCCTATCGCATTTGCCCTTACCAAAGGCCGCTATGACGTCGCCCACATGCTGCTGGATGACCCCAATCTCGACATCAAGGCTGCGCATCACCTGCTGTGGCGTGTGGCAGACGACGCCCGTGACGGCAGTGTGTCATCAGCCGAGAAGCTTAGGATGGCCAAGAGGCTGATAGCGCTCGAGGCGGCAGACCAAAATCCAGATGTCCCCATCTGGCAGTTCTGCAGTCGTCCCCTCACCGACCCGTCCCACCATCTGGAGCTCATTGCCTACCTTTTCCACAAGGCCGGGCAGAGTGCCATCGGGCTCAATTCCCGGATGGAGGGCAGGAATTGGGCCCTCCTCTATCAAGCAGCTTGATCTCGGTCCTCGGATGGCGTGCTGCGGCTGCTCATGCGCAACGGGGCGGCCGTCACACGAGAATATTCTCTCTCAGGGGGGCCGCCCTTAGAAGTGCTACGGGCGGCATACCGTGACTATCTGCGCCATGACCTGCCGATGCAGGTCAGCATCGCCGTCAAAACAGCCCTCCTGCCCGCACGCGCACTGGCGACGACGGCACTGCCCGATGGCGTCATTGAGAGCATCGAGGCGCTCATCGGCGTGGGCAGCCCGCCCGCGCTCTTCATTCCCATTGGCGAGCAGCCCTTCGGCAATCGCATCAATGAGCTGGCCAACGGCTACCTGTCTGCGGCTTACAAGTGCATTCGGCAGGCCGGCAGCAGCAGCAGCAGCAGCAGCAGCCTGGAGGGCATGGGCAGCATCGAGGGGATGGTCGACCGATATGATGACCTGATGCGGCAGGTGCGTGAGGCTGCCAAATATGAATGTTGTCAGTTTTGCCCTTCGCCATATGAATGAATGAGTGAATGACTTACGAGGACTCAGCCAGGGGAGGCAAGAAGCAAGTGTGGGAGGGAGGCTTCCCCCATGTGCTTTGTGGCTTTGTATCTCGTAGCTGTTGTAACAGTGTTCATAATGTCATTCTGGGGCCCCTGGGGCCCGAAATTTCCTTCCCTCCCGTCACGACCTGATATGGAAGAACTCGCAGCAGCAACGCGGCTTTGGCCAGCCGCCAGTTCGCCTACCCCTCCTCCGTCGGACGCCCGTGATGCACTCCAACAGCACACCAACAACAACAGCACGGCACCGTCTGCGGCCCTGCGTGCTGCGTGGGCAAGAGGGGGGAGGGAAGCATGGCTGGTTGGGTGTCGGGTGGCGCTGGCTCTCCTGGCAGTGGCGTTCCTGAGGATGGGAGAGGACTCTGCACAAGTATGCACTCATGGCTGGGACAGCCCCTTTGCTTGCATGTGGGTCGCTTCACTGCAGGCTCGGCGGCCGTCGGCACCAGACGAGGGCTGGAGCATCATCCCTCCCCAGCAGGTGGCCCTGCTCTCCATCAGGCAGCGGTCCAAGCTGCTGGGCTCGCTCGGCCTGCGGACCAACCACAGGAAGGCACACTCCGTCTACGCTCTCAACGTGACCGAGGGCGGCACAGCTGGGTATTGGTGCCTGGACGAGTTTCGCCTGTGGACGCCGGATGGGCCGGTGGCGCTCAACAGAAGACGTATTCATGGGAACGGAGAGATGGAAGAGAGAGAGGTGCAGACGGGTTGCTGTGCGTGTGTGTCTCGTTGATGCAGCTGATGCGGCGTTTGCTGCGTCGGCGTCTCAGGACTTCCCTGCCAAGCATGCCGTCGACAGAAAGGAAGAGTGAGTCAGTCAGTGAGTCAGTGAGCGATCCGAGCACCTCAGGTGTGTATCTGCGTGTCATCCATCAGCATTTTCTGCAACGAGGGCGCCTCGGGGATGCTCGAGATCACTGTGGGCCGCAACATTAAGGTGGGTGACCCACAGGAGCGACAAACACACACAAACAAATGCGTCTCCCACGTTGCCTGGATCCTTTCATCAGGCCACCCGCTACGCTATCCGCCCGGCAGCACATTACCTGGACAGAGACCCGAAGTCGTGGACACTGCTGGTGAGCAGAGACAGGATGACCATCTGTGTGCATCGATGCATCCATACCCATGCATGCAGGGCAAGCGTGAGGGCGAGGGTTGGGACAGCCTGCACGAGGAGGCCAACCACAGCTTCGACGACGACCGACACGCGGACCATGAGTTCGACATACCCGAGGCTTTCGGTGGGTGAGGTGACCACACTGCATGCCATGCCATGCCATGCTGCCGTCATTTGTCCATCAAGCGACCTGCCTCACATGTATGTCTCTGTCCTCAGTACAAGCAACGGCCACCGAGCAGCCCCCACCCACAGTCACAAGTGGGACGGACGGGACAAAACAAGCAACAGCGGCACTCTGTCGGTGTGTGTGTTGTGTGTCTCGATGTCTCTGTGTCTCTGTCCGTCTGTGTGCACAGTTAAGGATTGTGTGGGGGAGTGGTCGGACTGGTCTCCGTGTACGCTGATCGACAAGGGCGGCTTCAAGCGCTGCCTCAAGAAACAAAGATTCAGGTGCCTACAGCACGCACAAGCAGAGACACTGTCATGCCCTCCCTCCCTCCCTCCCTGCCCACTGTCACAGTGTGCTGGAGCCCGGCACAGTGGGCGGCGTGGCCTGTGAGGCTGCAGACGGCCAACAGCAGATAGAAGTCTGTTCAGAGAGCCCCTGCATCGGTCAGCCAGCCACAACACACTTATCCCTCCACACACCAGACCAGCCTGTGTGTTCGTGCTGTGCTGTGAGGAGTCAGATGAGCTGCAGGAGTCGGGCGGTGGTCGTGCCGACCGTGAGTTGTCGGGTTTGGGCGACCGCGAGGAGAATGTGGGCGAAGGTGACTTGATCGACGAGGAGGAGGGGCGGCTGGCGGCCGAGTGCATGCGCAAGGACGGCACCGTCTATGAGGGCACCATCGACCCCGTCACGGGCGAGCTCCTGTGCGAAAAAGGTGACAACCGAGCAGGGAGGGATGGATGCCGACAAATATGTATTTGTTGAGTCACACGGGCATGTGTGTCGATGTAGAGGAGGAGGCCGGCGGTGGCGGCTCCAGGTGATGGAGGATAGGATGATGTCAATGAAGGAGCACAGAAACGACTATGTCGGTCTGTCTGTGTGCATGCCAGCAGCAGTCTCTTGTACATATGTGGGTCGATAGCTGTCTTGCTCATTGCCGGCGGCATCGCAGCCATCGTGTTTGTCGTCATGAGACCAAAGGTAAAGGTGCCTGAAACACCACATACACGCACCCCACCCACACATGGGGTGTCTCCCTCCCTGCCATGTCTTGCAGACACCCGAGGCGCCAGTGAGAGCCTCCCATACACACGAAATCCGGCCAGAAAACACTACCGCCTGCTCTCTGTCTCTGAGCGTGCTATGTTCAGGAGGAGGGTGCCGTCCCAGCTCCCCCCGCCGCCCCCCGCCAAGCAAGGCCGCCGAAGCTTCTGAGCCAGCAGCAGCAGCAGCTGCTGCTGCCGAGCCAGCGGAGCCGAAGGAGAAGAAGGAGAAGAAGGAGAAGGAGGTGGCGCCAAAGAAGAAGAAGGTGGTCAAGAAGAAGGCTGAGGAGATGAACGAGGAGGAAGCTGCAGAGAAGATACAGAAGTGAGTAGGGAGGGACGCTGATCACACACACACACATTATTGTTGCGTTGTGTTGTGTTGTGTTGTGTGTGTGCAGGAGGTGGAAGACCAAGAAGGCCAAGGCCAAGGCTGCTGAAGCGGCAGAGGAGAAGAAATAGACATTATCACCGACTGCCTAGGGGGGCGTGAGTGTGGGTGGGTGGATGGTATTTGTGTCCTGAATGACCTTGATTGATATGTGTGTGGGAGGATGTGTGTATGTGTATGTCCGGTCTCATGGCCGGCCAGGCATTGCTGACTGATCCACTCACTCATCAGTCGTTAATTGATAAACGCAGTTACTTCGTCCATTCACTCGTGGGCACATCAGATCGACACGGACGAAGGGACCGACGTGACGCACCACAAAGAGTCATCATCGTGGATAGAAAGAGAAAAGAGATCAGATCGCCGGTGTCACATAGATGTCACATGTCACGGGCACCCGTGTGTGTGCGGCGCAGGGAGAGAGAGAGAGAGGCAGAGAGGCAATTAAGGCAAGATCAAGAAGAGCGATGATACGCACACTCTCACGCAGAAAACCACACCTCACGCAGCACCGCTACCCTTTCCCACCGTCTGTACACCCGTCAGTAGACCCCCGTGCCCACCCTCCCCGCCTCCCTCCCTGCCCACACACAGCGCTCCCACTTTGACCTCCCCGCCGCGCCGGCTGTCTGTGTGTGTGTCAGGCGGCGAGGTCGGGGAAGCACTCGTCGACGGACTTATTGGGATGCTTGCTCCTGGCGTGCTCGACGGCACATCCGCCCTGGGTCTTCATGAACGGCTGCCGACACACCTGCACACACAACACAGCACAACACAACACAACACACCCATTCTCCGTTTCACTGACACCACACTGGTGTGTGTGTTTGCTGCTGGTCGTCTTACGCTGCAGATGAGAGTGAGTGACTTCTCGTTCTGCTTCAGCTGGCTCTTGCCCTCCTTTGGCGCATTCTTCTCGTTCCTGGCGCGCTTCTGCTCGGCTTTCTGAACACACACACGACGACACACACACGACACACAGGATCACAGAATCTGCTCGCCTGCCTTGGCAATCGCTTACGCATCCGTTGCTGCGTCCCATAGTCAGTGCTCAACGACAATCAAGACGACGCGATCGGGTAGTACTGTGTACAATCGTGCTGCTCACACACAATAGGACAGCTATCCGCCGCCAGAATCGGGGTGACAATTCTCTTCTTTTTGCGAGCCTGATCCACATCTCGCAACGAAACCGGCGCATTGCTTCACAGTGTAAGACTCTCTCCCACTCAAGTAAGCGACGTTCATTCATCTCATTGATGCATGTCCAGGAGGGTGCATTCATCTCATTCGTTTGTTTCGTCACACGGATGCGATGCGCCGGCAGCTGCGGTCACGGGCTGCACGAAGCGCGATGGCGGGTGTTGAGCGGATGGAGGCAGCTGCAGCAGCCATGGAGAGCGAGTCCGACGACCCAGACATGTCAGAGATGTCAGACGATGAGCCGCAGGTCTGCATGGATCACAGCAGCACGGGAGATGGATGCACAACCGCCGCCTTCAAGCCATTCTGTGGCTGGCCATCTGTGTGTCGGTGCAGGCCAAGAGCCATCGGGTGGCTGCCAAGGGCGAGGTTGACCTCGAGGCCTTCTTCAGAGTCGCCACCGTACGCAACCTCCTCAACACTCATCTCATGCTGGCCAGTGACAAACGCATTGCCTTTTGCAGCCTGTGATCCTCGCCCTTGTGCTGGCCTTCGTCCCTCTGCGGCTGCTGATACGCTTGCCCCGGCGCATTTGGCAGCACATCGCCCCGCAGTACACCCACCTGCTCATCGACGGCCACGACCGAGACGACGAGCGGTTCTGGGGACGAATGCCCTCACATGTCGCTCGGCTCTGGGGCTGTCGGCTGATGCACCTGACGTCAGTCACGCTGCGGCAGCCTCTCGGGCGATATACATATAAAAGGGGTTGGGGCATCGGCGCGCTGATATCCATCCTGGACGGCCACTCATCGGCCAGGCAGAGGGAGCGGGAAGCGGGAGCGGAAATGGACGAGGGCTCTCTCACAAGCATCGCATTCGAGTGCTTCCCGGCATCCCATGACGGGTTCAACCACCAGCCTCCTGCCGTCCTCATGGCGAACGTCCCAATCAGGCTTCCCGCGCTGACGTCAATGACTGGCGTCCACGACGGCCTCAAATGGCTGCTGCTCCGCCTGGAAGCGCCGTCCATCGAGATGATACAGGGAGATATGGATGCCAACGTCTGGGCACTTGGCCCCTTTCTCCAACACTCGACGCGTCTGAAGCGCTACTGCGTCCCGTCGACGAGCATCTACAAGATTGTAGTCTTCAACTGCATCCGCGTGGCCGCAGCGGGGCAGCCGGGCCCCCTGTCGCAGCTCCAAGACATCGGCAGGATG